GTTGTGTATTATGATTGTTCATGAACTATCTTTATAGTATACTACGATGAGATTACATTTGTGAAAGGTGAAAACTATTGCGTATATTGCTTTGTAATTCTGATTGTGTATTGTGATTATTAATGAAGTAGTGTAGTAATCAAAGCCTAGTCATTGTAGAAAATTTAGTATTGAACTAAATAGTATTTTATGTGTATTGAGATGAGATCAAATTTGTGAAAGGTGAAAATTATTGAGTATATTGCTTTATGACTCAGGTTGTATATTATAATTGTTGATGAAGTAGATAGTGTAGTAATTGAAAACCTAGTCATTGTAGGAAATTTAGTATTGCATTGGATAGTGTTTTATGTTTATTAAGATGAGATCACATTTGGGAAAGATAAAACTATTGTGTATTTTGCTTTGTGATTTTGGTTGTGTGTTGTGATTGTTGATGAAGTATATAGTATAGTAATTGAAAGACTAGTCATTGTAAAAGTTCAGTATTGAACTTGATAGTGTTTTGTACATATTGAAATGAGATCACATTTATGTAAAATGAAAACTATTGCATATTTTGCTTTATGAATTTGGTTGTATATTATGATTGTTGATAAAGTAGATAATGTAGCAATTGAAAGCCTAAATATTGTAAGAAATTCAATATTGCACTAGATAGTGTTTTGTGCATATTGAAATGCAATGATTTTGTGAAAAGTGAAAATTATTGTGTATTTTGTTTTATGATTTTGGTTGTGCATTATGATTGTTGATAAAAGTAGATAGTGTAGTAATTGAAAGCTTAAACATTGTAAAAAAATTAAGAATTGACTAGATTGTGTTTTGTGCATATTAAAATGCAATGACTTTATAAAAGATGAAAATTATTGCATATTTAATAATCAAATCTTGATGTTGTAAATTGTTTGAAGTTGTCTTATTTTATTGAACTATACAAATAAAATGGAATGATAATTATTTTAAACTTTTTGTAGAAAAACTATGCTATTGCATTATCTCAGAAGTACAATGAAAACTTTTCCAATTATCTAGATTTCGATCCATAAGCATGGACTAAAGCTATTAAAAGGGTTGAACCTACACATGCTCTTGTAAATGGTTTTGGATTTATAGATGGATCTAATGACCTATTTTATTCAATGTAGTCGACTGCTATAGTAAGATTGTTTCATTCAATTTGTGGTCTATATCTATGTTTCCTTAGCCTCAAATACAGTAACAAATTGATGAGTTAAGGATTAAGCTTAAAGTTAAGCTTAAATTTTTCATGGATTAAATGATGTAGTTGATGGGGTCTATATAATTTTTGCCAACACAATTTTCTAGACCTAATGATGGCAATGAAGATTTCGGATGAAGATATGTAACAATAAAGTGACATTTTTCAGGGTTTGTATAAAGTATTTTATGGATGCTATGGGTGTTTTACGGATGTTATGAATATTTTATTTATGTTAACTTTATAATTTGGATTGTTTTTAAATTTATGATGTGGATTTAATACTTTAATTAATAATAATAGACAAATAATAGATTTTTTAAATAATTACACATGTTTAAATTTTATTTACATGTTTCTTAAATAATTATAGATGAAATTAATCAAATTATTGATGAAATTATAATTTTACTAATGTGTTGTTGAAAATGCATGAGAATACATCTTTCTAGTATATTGATTGAGCGTGGTAGCAATAGTTGGTTGGCAATGAGTACAATAGGTACGTTTTTTCTTTTTTGGTGAAAAGTCCTAATAAAAAAAGTGTAACGAATCCATCCCACCAGACCTTTTGGATGGGACCCGTGTTGCTGGCACTAGGGATCAAGGGACCGATCGCCCTGAATTAGATGTTCCTCTATCCAATCCCACGGAGAGAATATTACAATGATTAATTACTACGTAATGAATAAATAAACACTATAAATTGAAATAAAAACTTCAATCAATTATTTTTTTTTTTCAAATAAAAGCAATAAATATTATCAATTATTGGATTTCTTTAAAAAAAATGTAGTAATAAGGTTTGAAGAAAAGCCACATATAGAATAATTATTGCATATTTTTTAAAAAAATGCAATATTAGAATTATGAAAGATAAATCACACAAAGAACAATTATTGCGTTACATTGTAATTGATTTTAAGAAAAATTAATTTCATTGCTAAATGTTGCTTTTCAAAAGGGTAACATAGAAAGAAGTTATTTTTTTTTAGGTCAAATGTGAAACTTAAGTAGCTTTCCACCAGGAATTATAAAATATAATAGGAAGAGATGAGTTTTCTGATTTTGAAACTTTTAAGTACTATTGAAAATCTAACATTTTCCCAAAAAAATTAGATAATTCTGAATCAAATGTGAGAATCAAATATCTACAATCAAGATTTCGAAAATTTTTTTTTAGATTCCTCTAAATCAAATGCCTTCTTAGAGGGCTTTGGTTCGCAAATTCTTAAATTTTAGGAGGGAAGGTGATTTAAAGGGAAAGTGCTATTGAAAGAAAATGCATAATTCATGAGTTTTTGTTAACTTAAGGAATATAAGACTTTTGTGTTTGATTCATAGGAATATAAGATTACTTAATATTTTTTTACCATATTGTTTTTGATAATACGTGAATAATACATGACATTTATAATACTGACATGTGAATAACATGTCTTCGTTAAAACCAAATAATTTTAAAAAATAATTTTTTATATTTTCAACAAATATAATCTTACAATTTTAATGACTATCCCAATGCTGATTGGCCTTACACACAAAAAATATACAGATCGACCTTTATAGTAAGGTCGACTTAAGGGTTGGAAGAGGGTGATAAACCTTTTTCCAAAAGTTTTTGGGGTCAAGCCCCATAAAAACAATTTTTATGTAGAATAATATTAAGTATATACCTATTTAAGATTCGGGTTATTCATCTAAATCTGAAGGTCCATACAAGTTTTAAGAAGGTTTGGATAAAAAATTAAAATTTGTTAAAATGAGTTTGAACATAATTTTAGACTCGTTTAAATTTTGGCTTGAGCCTTGAATAAAAGAATTAAAACTCGAACCTGATTCAACCCATTTTGAATAAAATATATAAGATTAAAGTATTATAATTATATAAATATATATGTGCATTTTTATTTTAATATTTTATTTAAAAATATTTTTAATTTTTTATTATATAAAATAAGTTTAATGAGTGAGTATAAGATTTTTTTTTTTTTTAAAATTTGGGACAACCTTTAAAAAATTTTGAGATTTGAAATATTAGATTAAGTAGGGTTTGGGCAAGCATATAGGCTAATAATACCTAACATGGGCTTGGTCTTAACCTAGCCTAATCCATAAATATCTCTAATTAAGTAAATGTATTCTATATTTTATATATAATAATATTAATTAAAAAAATTTTACTTTTTATTTTTTTTCATATTTTCAACAAAATTATGTTTTTATCTTAAAAAAGTTAGCTTTTCAACAAAAAATTTTTTTATCTTAGAAATATCATTTTTATTGAATTCTGAAAATTATATTTTTTTTTTATGTTTTTAACAAAATTTGTGTTTTTATTTTAGAAACGTCATCTTTATTAAATTTTGAAAAATATATTTTTTTATGTTTTCAACAAAGATTGTGTTTTTATCATAGAAAAGATATATTTTCGATAAAAATTTATATTTTCTATCTTAGAAACGTTATTTTTTGTTGAATTTTGAAAAATATATTTTTTCATATTTATAACAAAGATTGTATTTTTATCTTAAAAACATTATCTTTGTTAAATTCTTAAATTTAATTTTTTTATATTTTTAACAAAGATCACGTTTTTTTTTAATTTTTTCTGATGAATTATGAAAAGTAATTTTTTCATATTTTCAACAGAAATCATATTTTTAATCATAACTTTTGTAAAGATTTCAATAATACTATGTTAAAAACATGATTTTTATTAAAAATATATTAAGATTTAACATATTTTTATAATATTTTATAAAAACTTACTACGTTTTAAGGTAAATAATATTGTTTATATAATCTGAAAATATGATTAAGTAAGGACAAATGAGAAAAAAATTTCACTTTCTTTCTAAAATCTTAAAAAACTTAAGAGAGAGAAAACTTTTTATTTCTCTTACTTTTCTATTTCTTAACATTGTTGAAAATTTAAAAAACCTTAATAATCACGTTCTCATGAACTAAACTAAAAAATCATATTATAAAAACTTAAAATTTCAAGAAGAAAAATTATTTTTCCTATAACCAAATGCCCTTTTAATATAATATAAAACTTTCCTTTGATCTAAAATCTTGATTTCATTCTTACATACAAATATGTTTGAATTAGAGCAGACTAAATCAATTTACTTAAATAATCAAAGGCATGAATTAAAAAAATATTGAATTTAAAATAATTTAAAACTTAAAGAGAATTAAAATACTTATCTTACATTAAATCTAAAAATACCCTAAAATGAGATGAATTAATCTAGATCAAAAAGAATTTTAATGTAAAAAACATGAACTTAAATGACTTAAACCGAAATGATTATATTTTTGAACACTAAAATCTAATTTAGTATTATTGTTGAAAATAATTTTTATATTAAAAAATTATTTTTAATCCAACCCGATGTTAAATATAAATATATATAGATATAATTTTTAAATTTAAAAGCCTGATTTTCAAAAATTTGACTTTTTTGTCCTAAAACATGATTTTCAAATTCAAACAAAAAAATTATTAAAAAAGTATTTTTATAATAAAAATATATTTAAGATAAAAATGTTATTTTATCTTTATTTTTTAATTTTTTAATTATTTATATTTTAAATATTTCAATTATTAGTAATATTTTTTATAATAATATCAAACATTTAAAAATCTTTTTTATTATTTAAAAAATAATAAAAATTTTTACTAATTTGTGACTAATAATGCACATCACCGAAATTCATGATTAATATTTGTTTAAATTATTTTTTAATTAATTTTTATTTTTTATATTTAATTGAAAATCATTATATTTCAGGTACCAAAATTTTTTCAATCCAAGCCAAACATATACACAAAACCCCTAATTCAAAAAAAAAAAAAAGTTTGATCGAGCTCTGCGATCATGGCCTTCTCTACTCGTCTAGTCTCCAAATCTCGCCAGGTTTTTCTTCTTTACTCCAGATCCCCATTTACGATTTCCTTAATTTCTCTTCTCTTGTAATTCTAACCTTTATTTTATCCTTTTTTTTTTTTTTTTATTTCGATCTTTATGATACGAAATGGTCGTTTTCTTTTTCAGTCTATTCGAGTTTTATTTATTTCTTTTTCTTTTGATCTGTGGAAACTGCGTTGATTTTATTTAATTTTTCTTAATATTAAAATTAGTTAAGTGAAACAGAAACTTGATGTTTAGATTAATACTTATGATTTAATTTCAAACTAAAAATCTTATTTTTATTTTTGTCAAAATTACCTATTAAATTCTGGGATTTCACCTAATGTTTCATGAGAAAATGTTGAAATAAAAATTCTTTCTTTTTTCCTGGAAAACTACGTCGTTTTTATTTTTTTGCTTTTATGTTAGTAATCCTATTAACCATCAGTGTGTGATTTTTTGTTTGTCGTTGATGTTTGGCTGAAATGTTTCGTTTTCTTTCTTTCTTTCTTTTTTAAAATAATCTGTGGGTAATTTATACAGCTTTGTGGTAGTCAAGCTATTCCGCGACAGGAGCATGCCATTCCTGTCCGTTTTTATGCCAAAGAGGCTGCTCCCACTGCTCTTAAGGGAGATGGTAAGTGCATATCGAGATGCTTGCTTTGCTTTTGACCTTAATTTTGAGTTTTTTTGTTTTCTCTACATGCTTCTCCTAGCTTGTATGCATATAGTAGCACTGTCATTGTTGCTTGTGTTTCTGTGGACTATACATTTGTATGTTTGTTGCATATTTGTGGCTGTGATTTGATTTTCTGTAAGCTAGAGGTTTTGATGTTTTGATGCATATGTGGAAATAAAATGGGGTGAAATGTTTTCGTCATGTTGATGCTTCTGTTATCTGTTATTAATAGATTATTGTTTGCTGTTTGATTCTCATTAATACTTGATCTTGTGTGTGGTTTACTGATGAGTTCTTTTTGCTTTAATCAAAAAGAGATGTTGAAAAATATCTTTTTGGACGTTAAGAAGAAATTCGAGACAGCATTGGGAATACTTAAGAAGGAGAAGATCACCATTGACCCAGATGACCAGGCTGCTGTCTCTCAGTATGCAAAGGTTCTGAAGACAGTTAGAGAGAAGTAAGCTTTCTCAATAAGTTTTTTTTTTCTCTATCATTGTTGACTTGTTGTACCACTCCTTTCTTTTGAACATTTGGAAATCTGTTTTTCTCTAATGTAGATTAAATTGTACTTACTACTTGCTAGAACCTTGGAAAGGCAATAAATTAGAAAGTAGAAAAAGGGATCAAGAGTGCTTCTTTGCCCATATCCCTGAATTTTTAGGCTACAATAGTTCTTCATCACTGCCCTACAAGGAGTGCTTAGTATTTGCCAACAACCCCCTCTCCCGACCTCAACCACCCACCCATCCAAAAACTGTATTTCTCTCATAAAAGTGCTGGTAATGTGGAAAACATGAGAACGAATTACATAAATATACTCTTAAGAGATTACATCGAATGTTGTTGTTAAGTTTGACTGTAAAAATTTGTTTTAGAAATAACATCAAAATTAACCTTTCTGAGACTTTTTAATTATGCAGCTCTCACATCATGCTTGAAATCTGGTGGATAATGCCCTAAATGGAAAGGGGGATTTTATAAATTGTAACTGCCTGCCCTATCTATTATTTGCCATGCCTTTTGCCAGTGGTTTGTTCTTTGTTAATTTAAGTCAATAAGAAGATAATACAATGAGTCCGTATTGAGTTAATTGCTTTGAAAACTGGTTTGATAAGCCATATTGAGCCAATCTTAATTGGATTCAAATTTAGCTGTTCTTAAACTAGCTTGCCAAAACTGGTTTGAGCTTGTTTTTGAATAAAGTAGCTAATTCCCAGCTTGTTTAATTTGCTCTCTTAATTAAATTGGTTGTTGATAGAACATTCTTTCGACCTTCCCAACCTCTTGAAGGTTTTATAACAAGGTTGCACAACTTCACTATATAAGTTTAAACAATAACTATAAGCAATTATTTAAATGTGTGGCCAATAAGCATTTTCTTATTATGCTTGTTCTATTATTCCATTTTCTTACCTTATGCTATCATTTGTCATTTAAATTGAGTAGATTTAAAACTGAATATATGGAATGTAAGTTTAGTAATCATAGGGAAGCGAGTGGTAGTGTGATTAAGTTAGATGGTGAGGTAGTACCAAAGAGTTATCATTTTCGATATTTGGGATCAATTATTTAGAGTGATGCTAAGATAGAAAGGGATGTAAATCATAAGATTCAAGTAGGATGAGTTAGGTGGTGAAGTGCATTAGGTATGTTGTGTGATCGCAAATTCCTTTAAAGTTAAAAGGCCAAGTTGTATAAAACAACTGTAAGGCTAGTGTTGTTATATGGAACTAAGTGTTGAGCTGTTACGAAACAATATGAGAAGAAAATGAGCATAACTAAGATGAGTATGCTTAAATGGATGTGTGGTAAGACTAGAAGAGACAAAATTAGAAATAAAGAGATTCGAGAAAAATTTGGGGTAGTTCATATTGAGGAAAAGATGAGAGATGGTCGTTTGAGATGGTTTGGATACGTGGAACGTAGGCCTATCTGTGCTCTAGTTAGGAGAAATGAGCTTTTAGATTTTGGAGAGACCAAAACATCTGGAGGTAGATCACGAAATACATGGATGCAAGTAATAAGAAATGGTATGAGGGTTAAGGAAGTAGATGAAAAGGTTTTTTTGATAGAAATGAGTGGCGCAAGAAGATTCAAAATTATGACGTAACATGATTCCTTTTTTGTGTCTTTCATACAGCCAACTCCGGAGTTATGGGATATAAGGCTTAGTTTTTTGTTGTTGTTGTTGTTGTTGTTGTTGTATTCTATTATTAGTCACTGTAAACAAGATGAAATAGTGCAGTGGATCTGACATGCATTTCACTGCTTTATAATGTGTTTACCTCTAATATCTGTTCCTGCAGGGCTGACTTGTTCTCAGAATCTCAGCGGATCCAATACACCATCCAAACACGAACTCAGGACATTCCAGATGCTCGAACATATTTATTGACACTGAAGGAAATAAGGATCAAGTATGTTAATCCCTACTTTTGAGTTAGTTGCATATTGTTTATAAATCCTTAATGTTGTAATGAATACCATATTTCATAGTTTAATTTTGTGCCAGCTATTTCTGCTATGATAGCATGTTTATGTTATTCCTGTTCTTATCAGTTTTTTCTTCCTTTATGCGAAGAATAAAGTATAGCTTTCACCTAATGAAAATACTTGGAGTCTTGTTTTGCATGGATCCTTTTAGCGTTGAGTTGAGCATACATGTTAACAGTAAGAGTTGTTGCTGACTATTTTCATATATTCTTTTCATGAACTCAAGTATTATTTTCAATGACACTAATGTCTATACTTGTTGGATGACTAATCCTTTTATTTTATTTTATAGCATTTTTCTACCTTGTGTAGGAGAGGACTCATTGATGAACTTGGTGCTGAGGCTATGACGATGGATGCTTTGGATAAAGTTGAAAAAGAAATCAAGAAGCCTCTAATGAGGAATGACAAGAAATCAATGGCTCTTCTTACGGCAGAGTTTGAAAAAATTAATAAGAAGTAAGCATTCGGTTCAATAACTAAGTCTTATTCTTCTTACCATTGACTAGGATTTTCTGAAAGTAGAAATGTTAATTTCGAATGCAATTTGAATTCTTAGACTCAGAAGTAGCAAGATTCTTTATGAAATCTCATTGATGGACTTTAAAATTGCTTCTGTCCCTAAAGTGAAGTGGAGAGTAATGTTTTAATATTTGATTATGAGCTGTTGGGGAATTTTACATTTATGCTTGCTTCCGTCCCTAAAATGAAATGGAGAGTAATGTTTATGTCTTTTTTGTCTAATTGTTTGTCTTACTAGGCTTGGAATCCAGAAGGAAGATCTGCCCAAGTATGAGGAACAATTGGAGCTAAAAATCGCCAAGGCACAATTAGAGGAGCTGAAGAAGGATGCTCTTGAAGTAATGGAAACACAAAAGAAGCGGTATGTTAAAGTTCTTATGCTTTGATGTGATGAATCTCTTTCCTTTTTCACATTATTAAAGTTCTTATGCTTTGCTGTGATGAATATCTTTCCTTTTTCACATTATTATTTCTTATGGAGTGGCCCCTGGGACTTGTCAATTGGGTGGGTGGATGAAATTGGGTTAGATCCTAGGGGCATATTTTGTTTATGTTTGTACACACGTGCACATACATATGGGTCATTAAAATGGCCTCCTCCAGACTTGCTCATGTGAAACTTTTAAGCTGTCTTTTCTTTTGAGGTTAATTTGGGAGAGGTACATGCAGCGAGCGGACATTTGCAATTTTACTATTCAGTGTGAAAGAAACATGGTAGTTTGTATAACCAAAAGAGAGAAAGAGAGAAACATGCTATTTTTGCAGCAACCAAATCGTACATCTAAACAGTTTAGACAACCAAATCATTGTCTAGTATGTGCGGCAAAATGTTGGATGGATGTTTGATTTATATGTATGGCATCATTTATGAATGTTTTAATCTTTGTTGTGTTAGAAATTGATGCACTTTTCTTTTTCCTGTTAATAAATTTCTATCTTCAGGGAGGAATTCAGGGATGAGGCTATGCCTGATGTAAAGTCATTGGACATCCGGAACTTCCTCTGAAACTCAAAGTTGTTTTTGGTGTTCCAAATTGGTGGTTAATTTAAGAGATGAACAAGAGTAACTGTTCCAAAATTTGGGAATACCTTTTTTCATTTTGCTATAACAATAATGATAAGGTTAACTGTTCATTTGAAATTGCATAACCATCTCATCTGAATGAGGTAAATGTTGTTTTGCGTTTATGATTTGATTACATTCTACAACCAGGCACAGTGGTGTAAATCTTTTGTTAATGCACAGCACAAGCTATGGGGTTCTGTTGAGCGAGTTCGTTGTTTCTTTCAACTGATATTATGGATTTGGTTCTTTGCATCTGTTAATCATTGTAAATGGATCAGACATTGTTGCATCTTTGAGCTAGAAAAATCGTTTACTTCCAATCTGAATGTCGCCACCCACCGTCCCTCTTGCAGGCGTGCGCTCGAAACTAACCTCCCTGGGGCAGCTTCATTATTTTAGTGAGCCTGGAATTCATCCCAAATTTGGTCCAAACAATTTGGTCTCTATCTGCCCACTGAAAAAGTGATGGTACTTTTATTTCAAAGGTGAATGTATAGGAAACAAATCAGCTCTAATATTTAATACATATATAAACAAAATCATTCTACTTGTAAGGATCAAAATCCTTGTTTTTCGGTAGCATGTGATAATCTCGTAAATAATATACAGCTGAGAACTAAGTTGCTATTTGTTTTTCTTTTCTTCACCTTCTTTTACTTTTTGAAAAAAAAAAATCACTGTAAAGAATTAATACTTGTCCAAAATTTTAGAAACAAAAAAAATCAAATATGATAATTAAGAATTAAGGTTACTCAAGAATCTAATATGGAGCGGTTGATTAGGAGACGAAGATAGGTGGAGTAGGGGTACTTGTTAGAGACTGGGAGGGTAACGTTATTGGTGCTTACCGCAACAGTCTACCTGGGGTGAAACTCTTTTTCTGTTGAAGCCCATGCAGCAGTACACGCATTGGACTCTGCCAAGGAACTGGGACTACGTGCAATTATACTGGAGGGGACTCATTAACAGTGACTGACCAATTGCACAGAAGGAACGAAGACTTTTCTCCAATTGGAAATTTGGTAGCTGAAGCTAGAGCAAAAATGGAGAGGTTTGAGCATTGTAAGGTAACACATGTTACAAGATCTGGGATTATGGGGGCTCATTGTTTAGCAAAAAAAAGTCTGTTAGCAGATGATGGGCGTTACTGGGTAGAGGAATCTCCTATCTTCTTGAAACATATTGTAGACAATGACATGCATCCTCAGACAGTTAGAAATGATGAAATCTCTTTTCTATTTTAAAAGAAAAAAAAAAGAATTAAGGTTACAATAACTGAAGGCTCCTTGCCTATTCTACCCAAAATTGTGCATATCCTTGATATGGTGCTGCTGGCCAGGCCCGGCAATAAGTTATCAATGCAGTGAAACACCATGATCACAACTTTCTCTCACTAGAACAAATTTGACAATTTGTGATGTTTTTTTTAAGTGACACATTATTTTTTGTAACGCCAATATGTAATTGGTGACAAAAAATATATTTCGTTACTTTTTTATATTGTTTTGATATTTTATATGACGATATATAAAATCATCATATGATAATGCCACAAAAATTTTTTCGCTAAATTTTACCTCCAAATTTATTTGGTAGGAAATATTTTTGTAACCTTTTTAATTTTAGGTGACATTATAAATTTTTTATCAATTTAAAATTTTATTTGTGACCAATTTTTTGATAAATTTTAGGTAACATTATTAATTTTTTTCATAAATTAAACATTTTAGTTAACTATTAATAACATTGTAATTTCGTCACGTCAATGTATAGTGGTATATGATGATAATATAAATGTCATAAACTTTTAACGTCAAATTTAATTGGTGTGAAATTTTTTTGCTACATTTTTTTTTTATTTTAGGTGACGTTTAAATTTTGTCACTAATTTAAAATTTTATTTGTAATGAATTTTTTCTAATAGATTTTAGGTGACGTTATCAATTTTTGTCATAAATGAAATGCTTTAGTTAACTATTAATGAAATTATAATTTCGTCACCTTTTATTTTATGGTATTATATTATGATAACATAAATGTCACAAATTTTTACTGTTAATTTTATTTGGTGAAAAATTTTTTGTGACATTTTGTATTTTAATTGACGTTATAATTTTGTCACTAATTTAAAATTTTATCTGTGATGAATTTTTTCTAATAGATTTTAGGTGATGTTATTAATTTTTGTCATAAATTGAATACTTTAGTTAATTATTAATGACATTGCAACTTTGTCATGTCAATATATAGTGTTATATGATGATAACTTAAATGTCACAAATTTTTACCGTCAAATTTATTTGATGAGAAAATTTTTTATGATATTTTTTTTATTTTAGATGATGTTATAATTTTGTCACCAATTTAAAATTTTATCTATGATGAATTTTTTTGATAAATTTTAAGGTGACATTATAAATTTTTGTCACAAATTGAACACTTTAGTTAACTATTAGTGACATCGTAATTTCATCACATTTGATGTTATATGACAATAATATAAATGTGACAAACTTTTATCGTCAAATTAATTTGATGAGATTTTTTTTTGTAACATTTTGGATTTTAGGTGACATTATTTATCCATCACTAATAAGTTCAAATTAATGTATAATTTATAAGTGACGATTTGACTTAGCTTATATATACCTATTTAAGAATATAATTTTTTTTAATGAGTATAATCTATTTATGTATATATGAAAATTTTATAATTAAAGAAAATGAATTAAATATTACTTATAATAAAAATTTTAAAATACACATTTTGTTTATAATTTTAAAAGAAATTTTAAAAATTTAAAAATTTTGTTAAATTTTTTTTAAAGTAAGAAATTATTTTTAAATATATATGTATAAAATTTTTTTCAAAATATTTTTGAGGGTCATGGCCCCTTAAGCTCCAAAGAGACATTGCCTTTAAGAATGGATGATACTCTACTCATCCATATCTTGCCCATTAACATCTATACTTAGACATTGATGCTATTGAGATTAAATATTGTCAATAAACAAGTTCATATAATTTTATAATGTATAATTTATTTAGTTAACATTAACATAAAAAATTTATCGCAACAGAAATTTTTAAATTTCAACACACCATTGTATATAAGATGATAATTGACTATTTTATTAGAATTCTTATTACTACTAGCAAGGTTGTAATAATGAGATCATAAGTTGAATCGGATGTAGATTTAATTGGTCGATTAATTACTAAGCTAATGTCTTTTAAGACTAGAAGGAAATTAAATACTTCCTTGACGTGTAAAACTTTTAAGAAACGAAAGGAAATCAAATACTTCTTTAAGATCAAATATGACAAATTGTAACTTTTATATTAAAAATTTTAGGAAATCAAATATTTCTTTGGCATATGACTCCTGAACCACAAATTATAACTTTTATATAAAAATTAACTTTAATTCAAGTTTCCCCTAAACTCCTAAACTACACCATTTTATATTTTTTTTATTAGGTTTTTCACATTCCTTCCAAAACGTATGCTAACTTCCTCATGAATAGACAGTATGCCAAACACCCGATTAATGCTCTTCTTTGTTGTCTTTTGCTAAACTCTCTTCTGCTCTCCTTTGTTGTCCTTAGTGGTTAATGCTCCCTTATGCTCTTCTCAAGCCATTGTTAACCATAGACAGTTTTGTCTTCATCTCTTTTACACATTGATTGAAGCAAAATTTAGTTAATATTTTGTTTTAGGCTTTTTTTTTTAATGTAATGAATTTGTGTTTTCTAATTTTTATTGAAAATCGAAATAAGGGATAAATTTTGATGTTGAGTTCAGGAAATTTTAAGTTGTAGGATTTTTAGGTATTATGGTTGTAAATTATTTCTTGGCAAAGATCAATGTTGTATGTGTTGATTTTTTCATTTTTTTTATTTTTTTGTTTGGCTATTTGGCATTTAAGATTTTTTGGCTGTTGTTTTTGATTGAATTGAAAGTAACGTAAATTTAACGAGGTACACTTCAAGCATTTGTTTAGAATGCTTGAAATAATTAGTAATAGAAGTTTGATTTCTATTTTGTTTGGTTTCTATTCTGTTATGCTCTCTATTGACAATGGTAGAGACAAAGAATTTATGTTCTGCTGTCTTTTCTATTTTGCTCTCTATCAAGTCTCAGTAATTTCATAATTTCAAGGAGCTGAATGAAATGAGTTTCATGGGGATATGATGATAATGATATCTAAAAGTATGGTTTTGCTTTAACATTAGATGTAGGAAAAATTTTAGCATTTGATCCCTTCAATTCAGTTTGGTTTTATATTTGTGCATATGGTGTGGCTTGTTATTGAAAATGCCTTGTTATTGTGTATATAATATATGTCTAGCATATATAACAGTGAGTAGGTAGTGTGTAAAGAATTGAAAACAGTGTGCTTATGTAAGTGCTGTAGGAAATTTTCCTTAGCATTAAGACCAGTGCTTATGTAGTGTGGTTTGTGTGAAACTTGCTCTATGATATAGAAATGCAGAGCGGAAAGTAAAGCTATACTTTAAATAGAATGACAATTCATTTTTTTTATTGGCCAGTAAATCCATCAGTTCAATAATAGAAAGGTAGCTTGAAAATTTTGAAAGGTTGATTGGAACAAGTCTTAATCAAATATTATGGTAGAGTATGATCAGAAAAGGCGATAAAAATAAAATGTAGTTAACTTTGGGTTACTAATTTCTATCTAATTTGTCATTGCATGTCTATACAAATATTTTTTTCTTAGACTCTACTAGAGTGTGTTGATTTGCAAAGTGGAGACTTGGATAATCATGAACTAATTACCAACCAAATATTTATACTCTTAGATCCTATGACATCCATATTGCACTGTACGAGAGTAGAGCACATTGAAACGTAACTATCATAACGTCTAGATCCGGAGATCTATCGCTAGACATTGATTTTAGGGAGTCGCCACCAATCTTTTTTATCTAGGTGCGATTGGTCACCTAAAGAATCTGTCCTTTTAGGGAACGCCTAAGTTTAAGGACCCCTAAAAGAATAGGTTCAAGTCTACTAACCAGAACAGGGTTCGGGAGTTCGATTACGTGTGAGGAAGGTTATAACACCCTCACAACGCCCATCAAAAGATGTACCAGCTTAAATTTGTGTTATCCAAAAGCCTTAAAATTTTACCAAGTAATTAATTATTAAAAATTTTTCTCAATTGACTCTAATACTTTTAGTAGAAAATTGAAAAAATTCCCTCACCTCAAGAGTATGCAAGAAAAACTATTGTTTCACTTGCAGAGGCTCCGTCGTCGGATTAGTTAAAGAAAAATCAAAATCAAAATCAAAATAGAAAGGAAGGAAATGATGGTTGTTCTTGTGTAGGGAAAATTGATACTTTCAACTTTTCCCCAAAATTTTTTTTTTTTGGAAACTTTGATTTTCAAGAAAAATTGATACTTTCGACTTTTCCTCAAAATATTTTTTGAAAACTTTGATTTTCAAGGAAAATTGATACTTTCAACTTTTCCTCAAAAACCTTTTTTTTGAAATTTTATTTTTAAAGAAAATTGATACTTTCAACTTTTCCTCAAAAATATTTTTTGAAAACTTTGATTTTCAAGGAAAATT